ATCTGATTTAGTAATTGTTTGTTGAAGAAGTATGAAGTATGAATGCTTGAAGTGCGAAATTCGCGTCTTTGTCAGCTGCTTTGTTGCCTTTAATACCGACAAGGCTTACGAACCACATACTCGTAAGCTACAACCTGTGTAGAAATTGAATGATTAGGTCGCGAAATTCTATGACCGTGTCGTGTTGTTTTTGCTTTTGTATTGTATTGTGTCTGGCGGTTAAATAAACTTTTGCGATCTTTGCTTAAGAATTATATTAACATTATAGAGAGATGTTTTCCCGTTGAGTTAGAAATTTTGGTATATATCCTTGCTGTTGCTGTTGGTATTCTGTGATCTAGCGTTGGTAATCCGACCAATTGTATTCTTCCTTAAAAAAAAACAAAATTAACAAGCATAATTGGTTTATGTCAGCACTAAAATTATTTAAGTAGCTGTAACATACAAGTCATCAGCGTATATAGAAAGCTTGGATTGTATGCGTTGCGAAATTCAGTAAGCCGTATCTTTTCTTTTAGCTTTTGTCTTAAATGTATCAATGGACTGCACTAAGCAAAACTGAGTCACTAAAGTCATAAAAAAAATAAAATACTTTTGCTCTGTTTACAAAATTGTCCCAGAAAATAATACAAAAGATTTAAATTTTCAAACTTTTTAAACAAATAATTCAGGTAATATGCAAGTTTAACACATTCAAAAATAAGGTCTTTGCTAATGTTTAGTATAATTAGTAGTTTTAGTTTATTTTAATGAATTATTATGGTTATAAAAGCTGATTACGAAAATTTGTCGCATGTAATCGATAAGCTAATTTTTGTTAAGTGCCTGTGCGCATTTCTAGTTATCAGCATTGTATCAAATTACTGAATGCCGCTGGTTGAACTTATAAAATTCAATAGTGCTCTGCACTTCCAATTTCTCTGTTCATTGGTTTAGAATTGTGTGCGTTCCAATTCTATCTAAAGCTTTCTCGAAGTCGATTGAAAAATGATTACGGGTTGATAAAGATTTAGTTGCTAGGTCTGCATCTAATATGTTTTTTATTGCTACTTTATTTGGTGAAAAAAATTTTTTTTGGTCATAAACCAGACGAGTTTTTTTGCAATATTTTTTTCCGTCAATTTGCTGACACAAGACCACAGATACAGTGGCTCAAAAATGAACTCGGACACTCAAGTTATATGACTTTAAAAAAAAATATATATAATGAAATCCAAATCATAACATATATTTCTATTCTTTATGTGTAGTTTTCAAAACAACCAAAACCATAAACTAATTTAAACTCGGTCGTATAAAAATAATATGAACATAACAACTTAACAAAACTGAGGACAAAAAAAAACTCGGACATATACATTACATAGAATTTAAAAATATTATTTAAAGAGAAACAAAATATTCTTAATATTTGGTCGGCAAGTCTTTATATTTTCTGATAGCACTCAGTCTTCTTGGCAAAGATTCAACTAGCTTCTTGCATGTTAAAGAATTTTTTTTCTCCCACTCTTCCAAAATAGCGGCCTCTAGGTCTTTCTTATTTCTAATAACATGCAATTTCAGTTCATTTCCCAAATGAGCCCACAGATGCTCAATTACGTTAATGTCGGGAGATTGAGGAGGTGTTTCAAGCCCTTTAGGACACTTATACATCGACCATAGACGGACATCAAGTGCTTTATGTTTCGGATCGTTGTCTTGGTACTACTGGAAATTGTTTTTAATTCCCAACTTTTCCGCACTTTGCACTAAATTTTCTTTTAAAATAGTCAGATATTGCTTGTGGTCCATATTACCATTTATGAAACACAAATTTCCAGTACCAGCAGCGGACATACAACCCCATACCATTACTGAGCCGCCCCCGTGCTTAACAGTCGTGCGTAAATTCTTTTCTAGCAACTCTTCATTCGGTTTTCTCAAAACATACGACTGTCCATCTGACCTAAATATATTAAATTTGCTTTCATCTGCAAATAAAACTTGTTTCCAGAATTGAAAATCCTTATCCCCATCACATTTTGCAAATTTTATCCTTTTGTTTCGGTTAATCTCGTTTATAAATGGTTTCTTCCGTGCTACACTTCCATTTTAATTATTTTTTCATAAAACTAGTCGGATTCTCTCCGGATTACAATTTATATTGAGATGTTGCAAAACTTCTGTTGAGAGCTTGGGAGCGCTCATGTTTGGATTTTTTTGATTTGCTGCACTATCCTCTGCACATCTGCAGCCGAAAACAACTTCGGTCGTCCAGACTTCTTTTTGTTTTCCGCGGATTTTGTTTGTTTGAATCGTTTAATTCCGTCATGCACAGTCGAGCGGGGTCTGCTCACAATTTCTGCGATTTCCCGAATGTTTTTTCCTATTTCAAAATGACTAATAATTAACTTCCTTACTTCAATTGAACTTTGTCCACGCAGTCTACCCATGTTTAAAATATTTACCTTTTTTCCAAAACAAACTACTGAAACTTTATTTTTAGCTATTAGGTATTTTTAAACAAAAACAAACAAATTGTGGGATTCTCCTTTTTAAATTGCCAATCGACTGCAATATTACCAGATGTCTGACTTCTTTTTTCGCGAAATTTCTAGCATGCTAAATGTTAATTTTTTGAAGTAAGGGTATGGGAGATCTATAAACTATTTAATTTGTTTGTTAATGGTATTTTTAAAATCGTTTTTGGATACCCTATAGAAACATAAAAAACAAAAATGTTCAATATCAATTGGTTAAAAAAAGATCAAGCTTGAAGTTGCATGTTTATAACAGAGGAATGTATGTCCGAGTTCTTTACTGAGCCACTGTAGGTCTATTTCCGTCTAACGATTCCTAATGTTTCTGTGGTTTTGGTAGTGAAATTATAGTAGTTGCTTTCCATTGTTGTGGGGTGATATTAGAGTTTAATGCTTTGTTGTAGACGATTAGTAGTAATTAGATTTTTCAGCATTTTATAGTTAATATTGTTGTAGCCGGGCATCTTTATTTGAAATGTGATCAGCGTTCTTTCGGTATTTTAAGTTAAAAAAACTTACATCGAAGTTGTTATCATTAGAATATGAAATTTGATATTTCTGTACGGTCGGTAATTTCCAAATTTTGATTGGTTTTTAAAATTCTTATGATATTTGAAGGGCATTTTTAATACATCCTGTTAACTTTATGCCATATTATTTTGGTAGGAGCGTTAGGGTTTATTGAGCTGGTAAATTCAAATAAAGTTTCCTTTTCTTCGATTTTCGCGCGCATTCTAAAGATTGCATTTGCCTTTTTGTAACCTAATCTGTTATCGCGTGTCATATTGTGTCGCAAATGGTCGCAAATCAGCGAAATGTTGAAAAATCTTGCTTTGATGCGGATGTTGGCGAGACGCTCATCCACCGAAGTGAATGCCAGTACTCACGACGGAGTTTCTCTCCCTCAACAAATCCAACACCAAATTTGCACTCTTTTATATGGCCGCTGTGGTAAATGTCACAACAACTTACTCGCTTTCGTCCTTCTCCTGTCCATCGCACTTCTTGGACGTCGGTGATGTTAGCCTTTATTCTTACAAGGACATCCGCCAGCTGGGCAGCGGCATCTTCTCAATTGAGGGACCGGACATTCCAGGTGCATGCCCTCAAATTATGATCCTTAATTCGTTTGCGGGGGTCGTCAACAGAAAGGGGGTATCTCATCCGAGGCGTTGTAAAATTTTTCATTGGAGCTGGTTTCTACGTGGTGGGTCCCAAACCCAGCGCACAACCTCACTAGGCGATTAAGGTTAAAGTTTTTTAACACTTATATGTATCGAGCGCCTTGCTTCAAGACCGACGCTCGCTCGCAGCCGCACCTCTGGTGAGCAGACACTGCAATTAGACTTCAGCTACCCTTAAACCGAATAAGTCGGAGTGGCCCCACTGAAGCTTCCTCTCTCATTAGCCGTGACCCAAAGCTCCATATGGATTGGTTACTGCGTCTTGTACGAGGGCTGCTCACGTTTCCAGGGTGCGACATGGACGCAAGAGAAGGAATTTAGTATAGCTTCGCAACTGTAACAGCATACCCAGAAGTTTGACTACACGCCATTACACCCATCTATTGTACTTCAAGTAAAATATTTTCAAACCATTCAAATTCCACTGAAGAATTTTAAGGTTCATATAGAGAGCTATGAAAAAAACTGTCAGAATAGTATAGTTTGTCTATAGGTAATTATTATTGACATTGTTGTTCTATTGTGCTGACATTTATTTCGATTAACGGCACTGTCTGTTATTTTTATATTGAATCGTCGGTCTTATTTTCTACTTTGTGGAGATTTTGATTTTTGATGGGTAATTGGATTGAAGGTTATCTGTAGAGTTTACGCAAAAGGGATTGTTAGATCATAATTCTTTAGATTCTGGCCCTAGGTGAAATATTTTAGAACAATGTGCGCTTATATAAAAAATAAAAGGTACACATTTTGCTCGTATGTCGAAAATCACTACGTTTTTATATCCCATGTTTATTTAATATGGAAGAATTTGCGAACTGGAAGTATTTGTGATAAGTCCGGTTTCTTCTCCAAATATCCGGGGGATCTAGCATGTTGTTGGTTTATTGATGGTTGTTATTTTTCTTTCTGACTTTTTTTAGTTTGGTTTCGTATGCAGAATTATATGTTGTTTGTTATTCTTTTATTTTAGTTAAAACAATTGACATCATGTTTTCCATTCAATTCCAGAAAGAGAAAACATTATCAAAACCACTTCTCCTCCGTTTCGGAGTGGGTATCTTGATATTTTCTCGAAAAATGGAGTTCCTTACAATTTATTCTAAGCCGCCTCCGAGCGGTTACAAAAAAATACTATTACAAAGTTTTCTAATTTATATGAGGTCAATCAGAAACTTCGTCAAACCTCTAGCTTGAGCTTCCCTTAGAAAATAATGCAGAGGTGTGCGTTATTATTGAGATACAGTTAAATTAGGTTTAATAATTAACCGGATAAATTTTTTGTTTCTATTTACAGTTAATAGCAGCAATATTAAGAAAGTCATCTTTGCACAATGGAAATTGTTGAACAATCCCTTATGTTAGAAAATAATAATAAAATTTAAGTCTCGAATGAATTATATGCTTTATGGCCATGGATTGGAGAGTTTCAAGGTAATCTGAGATGATGTTAAGATTTCAATAAACAGCTTAAGATGAATATGGGACTCTTAAATAAATCCAGTTCTACCAAGAACAACAATTAAACAAAAAATATTAACCATACAAAACCTGCTTCTTCCAAATTCGACAACATGTTACATTCAAATATGATTGCCTCAGCAGCAGAATTTCACTGGAATAAATTTTCTGGTCAGGATCGCTTGAAGAACGTTGAGCCAGTTCCAATAACAAATGCTACTTGTGATCGATTAAGAGATAAAATAAGTAAAATTGAAAAAAGTCTAAACGTAGCAAGCAATATTGAAATATGTCATACCGACATGAACATTCCCAGTACCAGCACTTCTAATGCCAGCATTATTAATAGGAGCGATGCAAATTTGCCTTATGCAAAGAGTTGTATGTCGCCACATGATAGCGAGAGAGCCTCAAGCATTTTAGCGGTATGTACTTTGAAGAGTAACAACTGTGTTAGCAAAAAGTTCCAACGAAATATCGAAGAGCCAATGAAGGTGGCTCCGTTGTCATACGCTAATAAGTTAGAAGATAAGATATATGCTAGTATTATTACAAATGTGACGTCATCTGCTTCATCAGCATCGCCGCTTCTTAATAACACACATCAGCAGAAAAGTAACCATCATAAGGCTAAGTGTCGGGGAAAGTTATGTCGGAGTCAAAGTAGAGGGTATTCAGTTATGGGAAAAACGGTTGAAACACCAACAAATGGAAAGACAACTAAGCATTTGATTGACTTAACAAACACAGAGGTCACTCAAAAAATATTTATACCGCCACCACCGAGTGTGGTTCCGATTGTATCAGTGCAAAATTCCATGACTTTGTCAACTGTAGAATTAGAATTGGATGCGGCGATACCATTGGCGGTGCCGACCTTAACACTAATGTTTTTACATGCTCCCATTTTTCCACAAGCTTGGAAACAATTTGTGAAATTACTGCATAACTCTGTCGAAGGATTGTCTGCAGCGTCTCAAATGTCGGCAGACAGAGCTTCTCCAACAACAGCTAGGAAACTATCGAAAAAGCATCTAAATGACACAAGAATAACGTCGGCAGCAACCTTAATCACAACAGAAGGCACTGCAGCTTCAACCAAAGCCGTAGCGAGGCGCTGTAAAGCTGCAGCAGCGGCCGTAGCGTCTGTGCACTCATCAAGCTTCTCACCACGTACGAAACTCCGATTGCTACCTAGTTTGGGTGCAACGTCAATTTTTACTCTGCTGACACTTATTTGCTTAGAAACAGTTTTGCTCTCAACCGTCTCTAGCTGTGCTAAAACGTTCTATATGCATTGGAATACATCGAATAGCATGTAAGTATGTGAATGTGTGATGTAAATAAATATGCATTATATTGCATTAAACCTGAACATGTTTAATTATTAAAAATAAAGTTATTATCTGTAACGGGAAAACTATTTAAATATATTATGATGAGTGCCAATAATAAAATATAAGAATGAGTAAGAAACAACTTTAATGAGGCCTCTGTTAATACTTAATTATTATCACAATCATCGCCATATGAGGTTTGGGAAACTCCTTCTGCTGGCAGAGGAAGTTTCGAAATATAGAAATTAAACAATGGTAGGGAGAGGCTACTACCAGGCGGAACCCGTAGTTTAATTTTCATTAGTTTCGATGTCTCATCTCGAAATACTACCAATGAGTGACCACCACTCAGAAAGTCTATGATCCACCTCTGCAACCCCAGCTGTAATGAGGATGCCTCAATGTCTGCTAGTAGCACTGAATGATTGACGGTGTCAAAAGCTTTTGAAAGATCCAGTGCTAGTAGGACAGCTAGCGCGCAGGGTCGGTTTTGGTTAAGGCCATTGACCATCTGGATGTTTGTGATGTTTAGTGCTGTTGTGGTTTTGTGCAATTTGCAGAACCTGCTGGACGCAGATGGTGAGTACAAGCCGGGACCAGCAAAGTCTCAAGTGTTTTCGCTACTGGGGAGACGAGAGTTATGGCCCAATAGTACTTTTTTCTGTTGGTTGGTTTACCCGGTTTGAGTAGCGGGACCGCCCTTGGTGAAGAAGTCTGCTTCCGTTGGTCTGAGATGATTTAAAATAAGCACGCTTATTACGGCGGATCCACTAGAATTGGAGGTTTTCCCCTTCTCGATGACTGCTTGAACCTTTTCGCTGGAGAAATCAAGCACCGCGCTGATGTTGCAGTGTAAAAAGACGACCAAAAAGCTCGCGCATCTCTTCGGGTCCGACAAAGCGCGGTCAACGAATGAAATTTCCACTCGGTCATTGCAGCTCGTCGAGTTAGACGAAGATGTGACGGTTGCCCAGAGACTGGTTGCTAAGCCTAAGTGCTCCTCAAACTTACTCAAAACAACTTATGGTTGCGAGTCTCTGCGCATAAATCCCTGATTAAGGGATTTCCAGGATCGGCGTTACGAAGGGTGTCGCGCCTTGTTGCTAGTACCGCCACTTCTGTCGGGAAATTACGGCATACTTCCGCAATTCGACCTACTGGGATGATGCAGGCGGCAGCGGCCACAATGATCCTGCGAAATAAACGTCTGATGGAGTGGGGGGAGCACCAAAGGCACTCTCCGTGAAGCCGAACCAGTTAGCTTTTTTAAAGTTAACAAATATCCGGTGGTCCGCGAAAACAAAGTCGAGAGGCCTGTCAATCGAGATTTGTACGGGCAAGTGGTCCTATGCTAACGTCAGTATCGGTCGCCAGACTATACTGTTTATCAGACTAGAACTCGCAATTGTTATGTCTGGCGAGCTTTGGCAATTACCCATAACTCTGGTGGGGGCGTTCTCTTTTATTGCGCAGAATGTAGAGTCATATATTTGTTCCGCCAGCTCCACTCCTCTATGGTCATTTGACAGGCTAAAATGCCTAAGATCGTGTTGCGCGTTAAGGTTATCTAAAACCAAACGTCGGTGTGGATGAAGAGTGTTGCTGTACTACCCGCTGGGTGCCGAACATTGGTGTTGTTCTAGATACTGGCTTAGACACACTCCTACAGCATAGGGCAACGTACTCATCGCTCCACTCACGGGTAGTGCGCATACTAGAGCACGTCCAAAAATGACACCAGCCAGAGCAACAGTTGCATCTAACTGAGGCCGTGTTCCGACGTACTATGGTCTGACAGACTGCGGCGGACTAGGAGCTGCTCAGTAGCCCTCGCACAGGAGGAGGAAGAAGAGCTGATTGTTGGTAGAGATGGGTATTGGTGGGAGTCATGCTGCGGGGAGCTCCGTAAGACCGCAGAAGTCCGTTGGTTAGCCCAAGCGGGTAAAGGTGCTGAAGGCACTGCCGTGTAGGCTAGGAGCACGCTCGGGGGCTGGTAGCATAGGGCCATTTAATGCGTGGGCCTGAGCAGACCTAAAGGTGAAAACAATCATTATACTGGTTGCACCTAACCGAAGTAGAGGAGTGGTCTAGTCTTTTTTGGTACACGCAGCAGAAGTTTCCGTCGGAAATAGCAATGTCGCCGTATAGCTCGTACAGCTCATCGTTCCATAGTCTGCTATATCCGCCGGTTTCTCGAAAACTCCTAATGCTGACTCAACAGATGTCGATGTCCATACTTCCGCACCATATAGCAGGACGGGAACAATGGGGGAGTAGAGTTTAGTTTTCGTTCGTCGGAAGGGGACTTTACTTTTCAATTGCCTACTCAGTCCAAAGTAGCACCCATTGGCAAAAGTGACTGCGCTGGATTTCCAGGCTGACAATATTATTGGTGTTAATGCTGGTTCCTAGATAGACGAAATTATCTACGACATGAGGCCAATAATGTCAAATATCATCGGCGTACGCCAGCAGTTGTACACTCTTGTAGAAGATTGTACCTTCTTTATTCAGCTCTCCAGCTGTTGTTATTTTCTCCAGCATCAAATTGAAGAAATCACACGACAAAGAGACACCCTGCCTGAAACCTCGTTTGGTATCGAACGGCTCGAAGAGGTCCTTCCCAATCGTGACTGCGCTTCTGCTGTTGCTTAGCGTCAACTTACACAGCCGTATAAGTTTTACGGGGATACCATTTCAGACATAGCGGCGTATAGGCAGCTCCTTTTCGTGCTGTCGAATGCGGCTTTAAAATCGACGAAAAGGTGGTGAATCGACCCTCTTTCCACGCACTTTTTTCAAGATTTGTCACATGGTGAATATTTGGTCAATGGTTGACTTACATGGTCTGAATCCACACCAATAACGACAATCTGTTGACGGTGGGCTCCAGTCTTTCAAACAATACTTTCGACAGGACTAGGCGGTATTAAGGAGGCTTATCCCATGGTGATTGGCGCACACTGTGGGGTTTCCTCTTTATGAATTGGGCAGAGCACACTTAAACTCCAATTTTGCTCTTGTTGTTGTAGCTTTTCGCAAAATCCGCTTAGGTACAGGTTTCACTAATCTAAGTCACCGAGGTCATCTAATGGGGGGGTCCAGGAAACGAGCTGTTCCGACGGGATTGGACCAAAGAAAGAGGGGGGTTGTTATTGTTGTAACCGCAAAGTTATTCCCCAAAGTACTTTTTGGGGAATGTTGCGGGAGTGACAGTCCTTGACCGGATAAAAATCCTGGTCGTTCCGGTATAAAAACCCGACTGTCGCGGGAACTATTGGATTTTAGTCGCCTCTTACGACACGCATGCCTTACCGCGGGTAAATTCTTGAGCCCCTAACCCGCAGGGGGGAAGAAAAGAAAGAAGGATGGGGGTTAGATGAGTCGGTTCAACAGGGCAGGTGATAAGGTGGTTAGTGTCGTGCGCAGACTATCCACATGCAGGGCATGCTATGGATGGGGTCGAGTCTGGATAAGTAAAAGTTTAACCTGCTACAGTATCCAGACCTAAGTTTTGCCAAGGTCACGCGGCTCTCTCGAAGAAGCTCTAGCTCGTCTGCTAGAGGTGGTGGTTTTTCTCCGTGCCATTTACTGGACGGCAGTCTTTCCCTACGGTAGCATCCCAAAAGGAACTGCTTGCACAGCAAAGCATTATGCTCCTTAACTCGTAGCATATATGCTTTCCTGTGCAAGTGATGCTCCGGCGACATCAAGAGGTTTTCTGTCGCGGTCTGAGATCGGTGTTCTGGCAAGCCTGTAACTTCTTCATCTGCGTCTCGTTCGTTCCCGGCGCCCAGATCGGTGCAGCATAGTTTTCGACCGGCTGACCGCAACTCTCACGACAGCCGGTTCTACGCACCGGAGTTGACCCGGATTTTATCCGGCCAAGGGCTGTCACCCTTTCGGTCTACAGGTAACCTTAGTCTAAGTACGTCAACGGAGCAACACCTCGCAGCTGGGTTGCTCCAAATCGTTCTGATCAGGGCTGGTGTAGAAACCAACCCTGGACCGACGGACTACTTCTGCTGCGTGTGTCAAAGAAGACTCCGCCACTCATCCACCTCGGTTAGATGCACCCAGTGCAATGGTTGGAGTCATCTTAAGACCTGCTCAGGCCTTAAGACCCACAGGGAATGGACCACGAGTTATGTGGCCCCATGCTGCCAGCGTCCAACCGCCTCCTCAGCCTCCACGGCAGTGCCTTCAGCACACATACCCACTCTGGGTAATCTGCAGACCTCCACGGTCTTACGGAGCTCCCCCATCCCCACCCACAACCAGCTCCTCATCCTCCTCCCGTGCGAGGGCTACCCAGCAGCTCCTAGTCCCCCGCACCGTCTGTTCCGTGTGTCAGACCATAGTGCGTCGGAACGTGACCTCAGTCAGATGCAACTTTTGCTCTGGCTGGTGTCACTTTCGGACGTGCTCTGGCCTGCGCACCACCCTGGAGCGATGCGTACGTTGCCCCATGCTGTAGGAGTCTGCCCCCGCATGTCTCTACAAACCCTCCGCCAATCAACACCAATGTGCGGAACCAACTCTCGCGGGTAGTACAGCAGCAACACACACCATCCACGCATCACTCCCTCACCCCCTGTATAACGAACGTTCCCCCGAGACAGACCCGACTCCCACAATTCAACTGCAACAGACTCCAGGGAAAGATTGACGAGATAGTCGACTTTATGAGCCGGGAGCACCTGTCAATTGCTGCGATGCAGGAAACCAAGTTGACCGCCCGATCAGATGTTCTGAACAGGGCCGGATACAACATAATCCGCAAGGATCGCGAGCGAGACCATGGTGGGGGCTTAGCGTTCATCCTGCACAACACCGTGCAGTATCGTCTGGCGACATCGACCGCAGGGATACTACCCTAGAATGTCAGGGCATAGCTATCCGGTCAGGCGATGTCGAGCTCGAAATATTTAATATATACATTCCTCCAGTTATAAGTTGCCCAGCTGGATACACCCCTGAC